TATATATATATATATATATATATATTCATTAGATTTTACTCGTGATAGAGGAGGACGATGGCGCAAATGTAAGATGGTTTAACTTGGACGAATTGCAATTATTTTAGCTATTAATGACATGGTCAAGGAATAAATCCTTAACTAATCGTGCTGCCTAGAAACTCAAGTATTAATATGACTTCTCAAATGTTTTGTAGGCACAATTAAGCAATTTTATTGCGATTGTGAAGTTCCTTATCCCATATTGGTTTTAGATGTGTGAGTTTAATTGAATATATAAGATTTTATATAATTTTAAATTGATTAACCTTAAAATTATAATGTGTCCTATCTTTCTTCATAAGAGCTTAACACTAGTTTGGTGATTGGCTTGTCTCTGGAGTCCAATTGTGGGGCTTTTTGTTTCGTATGAATTTTAGGTGTTTGAGTTTGGTTGAATATATAAGATTTCACATAATTTCAAATTGACTGGTTTTGAAATTATGTCATGTCATCTCTCTGTTCAAAAAATTTAGATAATTTTACTAGGTTTGATTGCTCCCTTATAATATTTTTTTAGATAGTTATTAATAATTAATTACTCTCTACACTTAATTATGCATATATATACATATATTATAGACAAAACTTTTTATTATTAGTGCTATAAGTTTAGCTTTATTCCGTTATGCATATATGATTGAATTCATTAAGATTTCAATACAATCTTTTTTCATTATTTATTTGCGAATCTCCTGAGTTTTAGCAAATAATAATAATATAATAATCTTCAATATTTCCGTATTGCACGGCGGAATTCTCCATAGTTGTGCTGATGGGCTGAATCTGTCCTGTTTAGACCAAAATGTCAATCTGACAAAAGGCCAGTGTATAAAATTGGCCTAAGAGCCAATCTCTAATTACATCAAGCCTGACCCATAAAAACCTCCAACTCTGTAAATGGTGATGGGTCCACGCTATTACCCAACAACTTAATTTGATTACACAAAATAGTCTTTCTTTTCTTTTCACTATTCTTCTTGCAAACCAAACAGATTCTAAATATATCTATCAACAACCTCTTGAGTAATAAGATGTGTTGTTGACCATGCTAACAGTGTGAGTTTTGATCCTTTCACACTATTTTGGTAGGGCCATGCTTGCTATGCTTCTGAGGAGCTTTGTTCAATACTTGTGAAGGTAGTGATTTCTAAGTATTTAGGGAGATTAAACGGGCACCATATTATAAAAAATAAGCTATATAAAATATATGGTTCATATCGATCCCAACTTAAAAAAAAAAAATTAAAGTTTTAATTTTAAAAATGTCATTTTTAATGAATATTTTAAAAATTAATCATTGCATTTAACATTTTAATTATGTAAATCATATATATTAATTTTTAAATTGATTGAATATATCTAACTAGTTTATCAATGGTACAAAATTTAACAATGTTAAATAATGTTAGAAAATACAAGTTATTGATTAAATGATTACAGTTGTTAGCTCAAGTTATATGCAAAGTCCAATATCCAAAAAAAATTAGAGTCACAATTTCAAGAACACCATTGTTTATTGAATATTTTGAAAAATCAACTGTTAGATCAAATGATTTATTAATATAGATCATGTCTACCGATTTTGAAGTTGATCTAATGACTATAATCATTTAATCTTGAGTTGCACAATGAGAAGTAATTTTCTCTTATCCCTTAACCCACTCCATTCAGATGTCATGCGATTCGAACTTAGAACTTATTACTTTCACTTGAAAGACATTGTCACTAATTTATTTAGGTTATTGTTAACAATTATAATCATTTGATTGAAAACTTTTTTTTTGAACAATGTTAAACTCTATATAATTAATGAATTAGTTAAATATATTCAATTTATATATCTAAAATAATTAACATAAACAATCGATATAAACAGAATAATAAAATCCAACAATTGATTTTTTAAACTATTAAAGAATAGTATTTTTGAAATTTAGACTCTAACTTTTTATGAAAATAAAGAACTAATAATATGCACTTTTCTATATATATTAATAATAAATATTAAAATGTTTTATTTTGTGATGTAGGGCATAGGGAATTCAACTATCAATGCAAGTTTTGTTCAAAAAGAATGGCTTCAATAATTAAAATGGTCAATTGAATTGAACACTTGTGATATGTATCAGAAAAGATTTGGTTTGTGGTCAAAAATATAATAAAGCCTAATCCTTATTTTGAAGAATGATTGACTATATAAAGCTTCAATCACTATCATTATAAAAGCTTTTACTCTTCTGGTTTAATATTTCAAAGTTTATTTTCCTTGAATTTGGTATATTATACTTTATTATGTATATTAATAGATATCAACCAAGGAGAAAGAAAACATATAAATGTTTAAAAAAAAAAAAAAAAAACTAAAAAGGTGTAACAATATAGGCACTGAAATTACCAAAATATTCTTAATTAAACTCTCTATCATGTTAATTCATTGAAAATATTTTTCTAATTTTAGTATTTGAAACATACTTCTTCTTTTTTTTACATTCTATACTTAAAAAAACAAAATTGAAAGAAATATTAATTGATTAGAATATTTGAAAGGCATAAGTTGAATTGCATAATAATATCTTAATTTTTTCAACAACTTAAGTAATTTAGTGATAATTTTAAAAAAAAAAAAAAAAAGTCAAAGTCATCTCTATTGTGCAATTCAATATAATACATATGTACATATATATATATATATCTTAAATTTTCTGAATGGGAATTAATATCTTGATTTGTTCACATTAGAAAAAATCTTTTGTTTTTAATTGGAGATTAAAAATAAAATATAGAAAAGCTAAAAATATTAAGTCTTAAATTTCATATTAATTTGTTTCGATAATTAATGCATCTCAAAATTTTATATTAATTACATCCTCATCACCCACTCTCTTGCTTGATTAGTTAGAGCTTTCTTTGTCAAGTTAAAAAAAGAGGAAGTTTGATAGACTTAATGAACAGGTTTTCCATGCTCATACGCAATATTGCTTTGAAGTCATAGGCACAGGGTGTTTATTTTCATACTCATAAGCAATATTTCTTTGAAGTCACAGTCACCCCCTCTCTGTCTAACGACTTTATTATGATTCAATGTACCATAATTTAAAAGGAATTCATACTTCATATCATTTCTGAAAATTAAAATGGTTATAGCATATTGGTCAACCTTTTTCTTTCCTTTACACTTATAGCTTATAACTGGAACACGCAGCCATTTATTATTACTTTTTGTAAGTAACTAGGGTTGTCAACAAGATTCAATTAATTAACCTTAACTTTATCACAAAACAAAAGGTGTTGATTTCACGTGTCAAATGTTTGGTTTTTCTCATATATATCCATTAAATTTAAAAAATGTGATGAGAACGGACAAAAATATATGTAAATAAAAACAATAGATATACAATTTTCTCACATTTTGTGAAAAAATAATCATTTTCCTTTCTATATATCAATGAATGAAATGCAAATCGCAAATATACACAAACTGTTGGAGTCTTTGTCCGCAGAGTAAAAATTCTATTTGTGTTTAGTGATGAGATGCATTTTATATATTTTGATGATCTATTATTTTAATTTTAATTTTGTTACTATTTACACGTATAAGACGTAATTTTTATTAGATTTTACATAATTTTTTTTCTTTGTACAAAAAAAAGATTTGAATGCATAATAATAAGAGTTTTTAAGATTAATTGAATATTTTTTAAAAGTTGAGGGAATGAATTGTGAGAAGAAAGGTTATTTTTAGGGACCTAAATGAATGAATCCTAAGTCTTTGATCAAAGTGTTCATTACATAAAAGATGGAGGACCAGATGCTATTTTACCATTAAAAAAGTGCAAAAGGTCTAAAAACCCCCTACGGTTACGGTGTCAACTTCTAGTTTGTGGTGGCAGTACCATGCATTAAGTCTCTAAAAAATAAATTTGCAGGAAATAAATAAAAGTGTCAACATTTACACTCTGGTGCCACATTAAAAGCACATCCAACATTAGAAATCTTCATTTTCGTCCCAAGTCCTATTTCTTTTTTAATAAGGCCTTTTAAACACTGTAAATACCCATTCAAAACAGATTTGTGA